AAAGATCTCCCATGCTCTTAGATAGGTAAAATCAATATTGTCAAAATGGCCATACTACCCAAAGCACTATGCAGATTCAATGTGATTCCAATTAAAAACCCAATGTTATTCCTTATAGAAATAGAAAAAAGAATAATGAAACACATTTGGAAAAATAAGAGACCCAGAATAGCTGAAGCAATCCTTAGCAAGAAGAGTGAAGCAGAAGGCCTCACAATACCAGATGTTAAACCATACTACAAAGTTATAGTAACAAAATGGCATGGTATTGGCACCAAAATAAACTTGTAGACCAATGGTATAGAATAGAAGACACTGAGATGAACTCACATAAATACAGTTTTCTCATACTAGACAAAAGCACCAAAAACATACATTGGACAAAAGATAGCCTCTTCAACAAATGGTGCTGAGAAAACAGGAAATCCATATGCAAAAAAAAGAAAAAAAAAGAAACTAAACCCCTATCCCTCAAAATGTACAAAACTCGACTGAAAGTGGATCAAGGACCCAGGAATTAGACCAGAGACCTTGTGCCTAATAGAAGAAAAAGTAGGCCCAAATCTTCACCATGTCAGATTAGGCCCCAGCTTCCTTAACAAGACTCGTAAAGCACAAGAAATAAAATCAAGAATCAATAAATGGGATGGATTCAAACTGAAAAGCGTCTTCCCAGCAAAAGAAACAATCAATGAGGTGAAAAGAGAGCCTACATTTTGGGAGCAAATTTTTACCACACACATGTCAGATAGAGCACTAATCTCCAGGATATATAAAGAACTCAATGCCAAAAAAAAAAAAAAAACAACCCAATCAATAAATGGGCTAAGGAGCTGAACATATACTTTTCAGAAGAAAAAATAAAGTTGATCAACAAATATACGAAATAATGTTCAACATCTCTAGCAATTAGAGAAATGCAGATCAAAACTACTCTAAGATTTCATCTCACTCCAGTCAGAATGTCAGTTATCAAGAACATAAGCAATAATAAGTGTTGGTGAGGATGTGGGGGAAAAGGCACACTCATACATTGCTGGTGGGACTGAAAATTGGTGCAACTAATCTGGAAAGCAATATGGAGAATCTTTAGAGAACCTGGAATGGAACCACCATTTGACCCAGCTATCCGACTCCTCAGTCTATACCCTAAAGACTTAAAAACAGCATACTATACTAACACAGCTACTTCAAAGTTTACAGCAGCAAAACTCACAATTGCCAAACTGTGGCAGCAACATAGATGCCCTTGAATAGATGAATGGATAAAGAATATGTGATACATATACACAATGGAATATTACTCAGCATTAAAAGACAATAAAATTATAGTATTTTCAGGTAAATGGATAGAGTTGGAGAATATCATGCTAAGTGAAAGAAGCCAGTCTCAAAAAAAAGGGCTGAATGCTTTCTCCGATAAGTAGATGCTAATGCATAAATGGGGTGGTGCATGGGATAAATGGGGGAACTTTGGATGGGTCAAAGGAGAGGGGAGAAGGGGGCAAATGGGTAGGAAAGATAGTGTAATGAGACATTCATCTTTATCCGAGGTACATGTATGATTGTGCGAATGGTGTGACTTTACTTCAAGCACAACCAGAGAAGCAAAAAATTCTGTTCCTTTTATGTACAATGAATTGAAGAGCTTTCTATTGTCATGTATAACTGATTAGAACTAATAAATAAATAATAAAAATAATACATGGACTAATTAAGAAATAACCAAAATAGATGGTTTAGAATAACACGACCATCTTTCACAGGATCTGGGGTCTTTCAAGTCTGGCAGTAGTCATTGATGACACATAATTTTTTATTTAAATTGCTCTCACATATTACAAGCATCTTAAGGACTAGAACTATGCTTTCATCATAAAACCTAAAATGATACTCCATAATTATTTGTTCTTTGAAAACATTTTTGATGTAGTCAGGTCTACTCCATGCAAATTCTTCTTTCAGAGCAAAAGTGCTGCTTCAGGTACATACAAAGAGATGTTTTCTGTTCCCTTGGGGTGAATCAGAATGAAATACTATTTATTGGGGAGTAATATTAACACCAGGAAGGGTAGAACTGTTGTTCACACTGGCTATTTCTTCCACAAACATTCTTCTGAGAATGATTAAGAAATTATCTGTGAATGATTCACAAGAAGTTCTTAAAGTTATGTGGGCTGAGTTAGTGCTGCCAAGCATGCTATTTGAGAGATTAATTTAGAACTTTGGAGTTGATAATCATTCACGCTCAACTTTGACAGCCTGACTTCTATATATATTCCTCAAACCAGACACACATGCAATAAATAAATAAAATTCAAATATATAAAAAATTGGAAATTAAATAATGTACTTCTAAGCAACTCATGAGTCAAAGAAAAATAATAGACAATATTACGTGGGTCAAAATTAGTCTTGGGAAAGAACAATATTGATTAATCCCAGAAAAACTGATCAAGAAAGAGAGAAAAAAGTGAGAGAAGATATATATCATCAATATCAAGAATGAAAAAGAATATATCACTACAGATCACACAACTTTAAAAACAACGGAGAAACTGTGAGATGGAATTGACCAAACTATGTTATGAACATATGTGAATATACCATAGTGAATTTCACCTTTATACATAAGTAGAAGCCACCAATCAAAGTAAAATAGAAGGAAAACCAGTAGAGGAGAGGAGACGAGGGAAAAAGGAAGCACTGCATACTGAAATGAGCAAATTATATTCCATGAATTCATGATTATGTGAAAATGAACCCCACTATTATGTAGAACTGTAATGTATTAATAAAAACATAAAAATTTTGATTAGTTAGGTTAAATGGAAAAGTTTATAGAAAAAAGACAACTTACAAAATTAATGAAGAACCAGAAATAGGAAAGATGAATTGTTGTATATATTTTAAAGAAAATGAATATATAATTAAAAGTCTTTCTATAAGAAAACCTTAGGCCTAGCTAGCTTCCTGTGAGTTACTAAGGAAGAAATAACACCAGACTTACAGTCTTGTTCTGCTAATACAAAAAGAAGGGTCATTTCCTGACTTCTTAAAAATGTGATCGGCATTAAATTTGACAAAAACTTTTTAATAATAACACCTTACATATATTAATGCATTAGTGATTTAGAGAAATCTCTTCACTATGGGGAAATTTATTATACCTACAAAGTGACCTCTGCACAAAAGATGAGCTATTAGATAAATCACAGAAGTATAAATCGTAGCATTACCTCTAGAGAAATGGCATGCTTTAAAATGATGATATAGGTAAACAATACCTTAATACAAATAATGTGCCAATTTATATCCTTATATTGAGATTGAAATGACATTAGAAATATGGATCCTTTGAATCACAAATAAGTTCACAGGAGTATTTTATATGAATTAAATAGAAAAGTAAGCTATAATATAGAATCTAGTCACTTTGGGTCTAATAATTCTATAACATTAAAACCAGATAGAATTTCATGTCAATATTTTTACATTTTGTTTATTATAATTTAGTTGGTCATAGAGAACATCTTATAAAAGCTTAAGGCGGCAAATATTTTAAGAGTAAGTTATCTGGACATTCTTGTATGGTTGTTTAGTACTCCCTGTAGCAATCCTTTCAGAAGCATCAAGAGTTTCTCTGAGTTAATATCACTTCCATCTCGTCTCATTTATCAAGGCAGGGTGGGGACACATGTAAAAATAAAACTGTCATCAAATGACCCTGCTTTGCCAAAGAATTCATGAAACTCATGGAAGGAATAGGCTGCTGGCCACCAGGGCTTGCCTCACATTTACTTTGTATTTAACAAAGAATGATGCACAATTTTCTAAAATCAATCCTAACAGCCCAAGATCTAAATGAAAGCGAATAGTCAATAGTAGTAGAATATGAAAAGTTATAATAATTTTGAAAAGACACTACCATTTCTTTCTATAAGATTATAGGTTTTTAGAATTTTGTATGGATAAAACACATTATAATACTATAATCAGCATAAGAAAATCTTCTTGAATCTCAATAAAAAGATTGATTAAAAATAGCATATCAGCACGAGTTTAAATGTGTGTTTTATATAGCTAGGCTTTGGCTGAATGTTGTGTAGAGTATGTGTCTGTCACTGCCTAAATGTGAAATACATGTGCATACATCAATAAGAGGTATTTGTTAAGTATATGACTGATCAGACACACTAATACTAGTGAAATGACTTCTGCTTGTATACTATTTTACCTTTTAAAGATTCTTCACATCCACTAATTGAGTTTTATCTTCACAATCCACCATGAAATAATTAAGTAATACTGTCCTCATACGATTATGGATAGACTTTTCCTTCTTGTTCAGAATGTTACTTTTCCTTTATTTCCATGAAACCAAGGGAGCTGGTTAAGCTTTTTTATTACAAACGTTTGCTTTAGCTTTTCCCTTCATGCAGAATCGATAAAGGAGAGGCTAAATAGTCTTCAAAGCTATCAGATGTCTGATTCTGGGTTAAAGCACACACATATGTGTGTGTAAAGGAGCACTGGATTTCAAAGATTACAAGGGTACTTTGATAGAAACATCTGAGAAAGACATTGTCTCCTCATGTAGTATATAGACAATGCATTCTTTTTGATACCTTTTTTTTTTTTTTGGTATTTAGGGGTCTTGTGGTTGATGATGCCTGCTACCTTCAATTCCCCCTGAAAACACACTCTAGATAATGTCCATACTCCAAAAATTTTTTTTTTGCTGGATTATCAAAATTTTCATCATGCCTTGATTTTGCTAAACATGATCATTTGACTCAACCTAATAAACTAAATATGCTAAAGTACAAATTACCGTAAACTTTTTGATATACCAACTCACCTGAGAAAATTCCATCTATCAGAGGAACCTGAGAGGCCATAGATTCTAGTTTAAAGAAATCAAGCTTCAGACAGTGTGCTGGGAAAGCTACCGGCACAGAAAAGCTAAGAAGGCAACGTGCCCATCTGAGTGTACTTACAGGTCACCGTGAATGAGTCCGTAGATCTGTGCCATGCTCTGATGATAGACACCCTTCAAAATAACTATGAGGAGAATCACCACAAAAGATGGAAGGCCCCAACTCAGAAGGAAAAACAGCAGATACCTCCTCTCTGTGTGTTCGTCATTCATCACAAGCACGTACCAGAAATTCACAGACTAAGAAAGGAAACAAAAAATGAACAGGTTCTGGTTTAATGGCATTTCACAAACTTACTTGGTTTAAGTGTGAAGAGTCAGGGACCAGCAAAGGCCTAGGATGTACTTAATAATTACTGTTTTGATGTGATTTTTAAAAAAAGTTAGTTCATACATACATTCTTTCATATAGCCAAGAAATTCATCACACTTCAAAAGTCTAGGAACACAAGAAAATATTTAGTTTACTTATGTATCTTTTATTTTTCTTAATTTGCTCTGTTTTAATCTCAATTATAATCTTCTGTGACTGTACTGTAAATCTGTCCTAGAAGAAATGTGCACTGATATTCAAATTTGCTTCCCATGTGAACAATTCATGATGATAACGAAATAAAAGGCCCTACGTTTTTAGGCTTTTTAAAAAAATTAGAGCATTATAATTACACATAGGAGTTGGGTTTATTTTGACAAAATCACCCCTGCATGAAATTTGATTTCAATCCTCATTCCTTTGGCTTTTCCTCCTCTCCTTCCTTCCTTTATTCTCCCTCCTCTGTTCTACAGCTCTTCCATTTGTTCCTTTATTTATTTATTTTTGATTGGTACTTTCTACATACACATAAAAGTAAAATTCTCTGTTATATCTATATATGCACATAACATGTCTTTTAAAGAATTCATTCTGCATAGCCTCCCTTTACCCATCCATCCACTCTGCTCTCCTTCTTCTACATTAATGATCTTTTCTTTATATTATCCTATCTTTCCCTCCACTTTTCCTCTATTTTGCTCTAGCTTCCACATATGAAAGAAAACATTCAACCTTTAAGTTTTTGGGTCTAACCTATTTTACATATTCTTCACTTCCATTAATTTACCAGCAAGTGCCATTATTTTATTCTTCTTTCTGGTTGAGTGAAACTCCGTTGTGTTTATATCCATTCCTCTATTGACAGACATCTGGGTTGATTCCATAATTTGACTATTCTGAATGGTGCTGCCATAAACACTGATATGCCTGTATCACTATAGTATGCTGAGTTTAGTTCTTCTGGATAAATAAACACTGAGAAGTGGGATGGCTGGGTTATATGGTGGTACCATTATTAGTATTCTGAGGAATCTTCACATTGCTTTCCATAGGGGTTGCACTAATTCATAGTCCCGTCAATGACTGCATCAGTGTACTTTCCCCCCACAACTTCACCAGCATTTATTATTATTTGTGTTGCTTTCTGACAATTTTTATTCTTTGAGGGCCTAACATATGGCAGGGCCAGACACTGTTCCATTGAATGGGGATAATTGTGAAAATGACCCTAGTCTGAGTTCCAGTGGGAGACAGAGAATAGGAAACAGAAATTGATTGCAGGGAGAGAAAAATAATGGAATAGATTTTGTGTCCTCTCTTTCTCAGTTTACATTACCTCTTTTTTTGGTAATTCACTTGACAAACATTTGAGTGCTTACTAAATTTCAAAAATCAGTCAAGCCAGTGAGGATACAGGAATGAAAGTGACAGGGAAAGCATTTACTATCCTGATTCTTAGAATTCAAGCTGAGCAACAAATAATTAAGGGCAATATTTAACTTATACTTATATCTGTTATTTCTTATTAAAATAAAATATATACAAGGGGACAGCACATGGAGAGTGAAGGGGATGTGGAGAGAGGTTAGGTACATGGGAATAAGGAAAATGAGGCCTGCAGATATTATTTTTGACCCCAAAGCCCATGCCTAGTTTATATCAAAGCCAAATCTAGAAATTATATATTCTCTCTTAGTGTTTTATTTCCACGAGGAATTCTTGTATTTAATTGTGAGTTAATACATTAATGACATTGAATGTCATGATAGACATATTTTACAACTATTCAGTGGGGATAAATCATCCTTCTCAATTTCATGTGGTAGAAACAATGAATATAGACGAATCACACACATATGTATATGGTGTGTGTGTGTGTGCGCGCGCTCAAGCACACATACATATAACAGTAAGGGGATAATCCCAAGTAACAACGTTTCTAGGGCCTCGGTTATGTGTACAAGAAGATTATTATAAAGATTCAATGATGTGGGAGACCAACCTCGCATGTGACTGAGTTAACTCCCCTGCTGGGCAATGTGGCACCCATGCTGCTAGACTGCCTTGCTCTTCTAGGGCTTGAGTAACTGTGTCTTAGCATGGGTCTTCCTAAAGCCCCATGGGTAGAGCTGCACTCACCTGTTCCTTTGTAATATTACCCCTTGCCCTGTTTAGGATAAAATGTTCCATGCAAGTGCCTTGTGTGTGTCCCTTTCTCTCACTGTGCCCTTGGGTGGGGCCTACCCAGGTGTCAGTCAACCTGCTGACAGTAGACATCATGAAGATAGACTCAGCCCCCTGAAACCTGACCCCTTGCCTCATTTGAATAGGTTCTCCTCAATAAAAGGGGTCAGCACGTGCTCGCTCTCTATTCCTGTGGATCCTTAAGGTCAGAGGAGCCATCACAGTGATCCCAAAGAAAAAGGTATTTGTGTCTCTTGTGTGGTTATTTTGCGCAGCCCAGTTAGCCCAGTTTACCTGGAGTGACCTCTGAGCCATTTAGTTGTGAACAGAAACCCGGCACAATGAGATATTACATATAAAGTCCTGATAAATGTGTATACTCTCAAATCTGCTGTTAATATGTGATCAAAGAGAAATAGGTTAAGATCAAAAGCAAGCAATTATACAGTAAAAACCCTTCTTATGTGAGAAAAATATATTTCTAGTGTTTGTGGGAAAGCTTTCAGATTCTGTTAACTGAGGCTTCCAGGGAAGATTCTATCTGGACCAAATTGGCCTTGAGGGATTACTATTAGTCTACACTAGTGAAGGAAAAAAATGTTTGGTTACTTGGATATTTCTGTCTCTGATTTTTATTTCCTGTCAGCACTTCTTATCTTTATGTACATCTGCTTATATCTATAATTATAAAGCATGTTTTGAGTTGCTGTTTATGTAAATTTGTTCTAACTCCTTTTCAAAAAAAATTACAAGGTTCAAAAGTGTTTTTCCTCTTTCTACATTTAGCATAAGGATGTGGACCCAGGTAAATGGGATGTGTCAATAGTCTGATGCTGAAGTAATCAATACTGCAAGTTAGAGGATGAAACTGCACACAATGTAAGGATCACGGATTAATCTATCTCCAAAAGAGAAGTGCTGGTTATTAAGTAGATATTTGTGTGTATCCATGAATCATCGTGACTCAGTGCTCAATGGAGCAGTAGCTGGAAGACTCAGAAAGGAGAGTACTGGAAGGAGGTAAATGACTTCTAAATTGATTTACCATGATGAAGATTGGGACATTTGCAAAATGTCTGCTTTTACACAGATAGACATCAGATCCATCAGGATCACTGGACCTTTCGGCAACTGTCTGACCTTTACCATAGGCTAAGACAAAATTGAGATAAATTAATTGTTTGTTAGATTTATATATGCAATACTTCTGTAGTGTTGTTAAATTCTTGAATACTTGATTAAGCCAAACAAGCTTCAAACTCTCACAAGCTTTTGTCAATTTGAAAAAAATATACGTATACATGCATATATATGTGTTTGTGTGTTTATTTATCTACCTACCTATTTATTCCTTCTTAAGAGAATCCAATCACTGAGGTACACTCCAAGAACAGCATTTCCCATTACGTGTCATTTTTAAAGCTACAGAATGCAAATCTTATGCAATAAAACAATATTTAATTATTCTAGAATTACTATGTGGTCTATACATAAGATTTGTTTTGACTAACTCCTTTCAAATCTTACTTGAATTTTATTTAAATACAGTAAGGCAGGCATGTGCTGGGACACACCTAGCTCATGAGCTCCCCTTTTCTAAACATTGTCTACCTTCCTTTCCTAGAGGAGGGCAGAGTGGGTTCAGCAGCTCCTATGCTCCCTGACTCTGCTCCCCAGACACAGATGATTTGATTAAGTGGAGAAGGCTGACCTAGTTTGGTCACATCTATCATGAATTCCTTGATTCCTTGAAAGTCTAGGTGGGTCCACTGAAATAAGAGGGCACATGAACTGGAGGGGCAGCCACAAGCATAGTAAAGACAGTGGGCCAGGCACAATGGTGCATGCCTGTAATCCCAGTGGCTTGGGAAGCTGAGACAGGAGAATCTTGATTTCAAAGCCAGCCTCAGCAACAGTGAGACGCTAAGCAACTCAGTGAGACCCTGTCTCTAAATAAAATACAAAATAGGGCTGGGGATGTGACTTAGTGGCCAAGTACCCTCGAGTTCAATCCCTGGTACCCCCTCTGCGCCCCCCCCCCAAAAAAAAAGAAACTGTGACTGTAGAGAATATTTTGGGCAGACAAAACTTTTCTCTTGCTCATAGTCCCATGTGAGGTCCACCTGCATTTACAATTCTTGGGTTCAACAAGTTATCCTACAAACGTATTATCTTTTTTGTCATTGCAATGTTTGGTTACATTGGCTCAACTTAGTTTTTCTTTCTTGTTCCAAAACAACTTGACTGATGTGTGTATTGTTATCCTCAAGCAGTGGAATTAAAACCTCCAATTATTGATATTGTTTAAACAACAGAAGATAATAGAACATTTGACTATTCTCAGTCCCTGAAATCATGGCTCCTTCTTTGTAATCTAACTTAAGAGTATCAAGAGATCAATATGTTTATACAGCAATTTCATGCTGGCAGATACATGTATGTATGTGTGTGTGTGTGTGTGTGTGTGTATAAATATGTGTAACCGATGTGATTCTGCAATCTTTGTAATGTTCTGAATAACTAATAAAAAATAAATAAAAAGTTACAATGCAAAATAAATAAATAAATAAATATATGTATGCATATAGAAATATATAGGTGATTTGCATGTCTTAGTGTTTGTGAGCTTTTAAACAATGCTGGAACTAACAGCATGCAATTAAATGGTGTCATTCTCACTCAAACATGCCTCATGCTAGCTTGAGCATGGTTTGTCTGTCTTATGATTTTCTTGCTAAAGACT